CGCGACGCTGTCGTCGCCTCGGTTGTTGACGCAAAGATCGACAGTCTCTCCAGCGGCGACCCCAGGCGCAGTACCGCGCTGGAGGAAGCCGAAAAAGCGCATCGGGGTCGGGATAGAAGAGGTGACAACGTACTCTGAGTGTGCGCGACGTCCTCGCTGGGGCCGGCAGCTGTTCTCGAGGTGCTCCGTCTGGTCTGTTCGGGCGCGCTCATAGTGCGCCCACGCCGAAGACAGCCTCACCGCGTGACCAATGTCGTAAAAATATGCCGTGGACGGTGTGCTGGGCCTTCGCGATGCGATATGGGCCTTCTTGGGGGTGGAGGATGCAGGGCCCGGCGAGCGGTCAAAAACAGAGCTGCGGGTGTGAGGGACGCGGGCGTCGAGGGAGCGTGTGGGGATGTCTCAGGCAGAAGCGACCGGGTGGCAGGTCTGCGATGTTTGTACGGGAGGGGGTGCAAACGCGGGACAGCGACGGGCATTCCTGTGTGCGTGGTGAATGCGGAGGGCAGCTCGGTCGGGATGGTGTAAACTGCGCTCTGAAGCGGGTCGACGGCCGGGAGAGGCCCTGAGGCTTGCAAATGACCGCACTGCCCTGCCCCGGGCGGTGTCGTTCTGCCGCCTGCATCACCCAGCTGGGCCTAGCGCGCGTCCGCCGTGAAGCGTCTCCACCAAAACTTTTTGACGAGCTTGCTGTCGCCAACACCAACATCTCCATTGTCGCCATGGCCAAGTCAAAGGACAAACGCTCGGCTAAGACTGACGCGCCCAAGAAGAGCCACAAGTCAGAAAAGTCAGACAAGTCCCTCATCAAAGTCGACAAAAAGGCGTTTGACCCGGCGCTAGCATCGCTGTTTGCTGCCAGTGTACGTTGATCGCATGTCTGGGCTAAAGTGTGATTGCTAATAGTTTTCAGGCCGGACCTGTGCAAGCGCCTTCAAAGTCACGGTACCAAGCGCGCGAACAAGCGAAAGCGACCAAAAAGTCCAGCGAAGGTGAAGACGAAGGCGATGCGAACGATGCGGAACTGAGCTCGGCATCCGAAAGCTTGCCTTCCGACGATGAGGACGAAGAGGAAGACGAAGATGAGGACATGTCAGATGCTAGCGACGACGCTGAATCTGAAGACGAGGCCGCGCTAGCAAAACTGGGTGAAGCCGTACTGCACGGCGCAAAGGAAAAGCCAAAGAAGCGCAAGCGCGGCGACAAGGAGGAGATTGAGGATGCATACATGCGCAAAGTAGCGCGCGAGGAGGAGAAGGAGGAGGAGCAAAGACAGAAGAAGCGCAAGACCGAAGAAGAGGAGGACGAGGAATCTTCAGACGAGGACGACGAGGATGAGTCTGAGGATGAGGCAGATGAAGGCAAAGACACCAAGGACGCGGACAAGGCCGAAGACATCGCAATTCCCAAGCATGAGTCGCTGATGGAGAAGACCGACGAGAGCGCATCCGAGGTGGAGAAGGCGTCCCGCACTGTCTTCCTGAGCAACGTCTCAGTCGAGTGCATAAGCTCAAAGCCCGCAGAAAAGGCTCTCAAGAAGCACCTGGAGTCCTTCATACCCGACCTCGCCGATAACAAGCCCCCGCACAAGATTGAGTCGATACGTTTCCGATCAACGGCTCTCGATCCCTCGCTACCCAAACGCGCTGCCTTTGCAACCAAGGACATCGTAGACGCGACTACCAAGAGCACGAACGCATATGCTGTTTATACGACCAAGGTAGCCGCAAGAGAAGCTGTCAAGAAACTGAACGGCTCTATGCTGCTGAACCGCCACCTCCACGTCGATTCACTAGCCCATCCCATGAAGGTTGATCACCGCCGCTGTGTCTTCGTCGGCAACCTTCCCTTCGTAGACGAGGAGTCCCAAACACCCGTGGCAGAGGGCGAGAAGCCAAAGAAGAAGAAGGCCGCCTCTGACATCGAAGAGGGTCTCTGGGTACACTTTGGCAAATGCGGCAAAATCGAGAGCGTGCGCGTAGTCCGCGATGCCAAGACAAGAGTCGGAAAGGGTTTCGCCTACGTCCAGTTCGTAGATGAGAACGGCGTCGAAGCCGCGCTGCAACTCAACGAAAAGATGTACCCACCTATGCTCCCTCGCAAACTCCGTATTACACGTTGCAAAGCGGAGAAGAAGAACAAGGAGAAGCCGAGAGGCCCACCGCCATCCAAGGCACCTAGGCCGGGCGGCAACCCTGGTGCCGGTTACAAGCAGAAGTTGACTGAAGAGCAAAAGTCGATGCAAGGACGTGCTAGATCGATGCTGGGCAAGGTCGCCAAGGTACAAACCAAAGAGGGCTTCGTGTTTGAAGGCCACAGGGCGAGTGAGAGGCAGGGCAAGAGCGGGCTCAAGTTCAAGGGCAGCGGTGGCCAGAAGAAGGGTGCCAATGGACGCAAGAGCAGAAGTGCGGGCTGGAAAAAGAACGGTGGGAAAAAATAGGCGGGCCTGCGTTGAGCAAACATTCTGCTATTCACGATATTCAGCCTGCGAGCATCGGAGTTGTCTGGTTCAGACAGCTACCGTCGCGTTCAATCGAAACATTACATGCGCATCTTTACCCCGGACCTCCCGTGCCTCAATCTAATCTGCGGATCTGCTGACTGACGAAGATGCTACTTGGGAGCTTGGGAGGTGACTAACATGGGTGTCGCAAAGCTGGTATGTGAAGATGTTAAGCTAAGGATACGTTGGCTTGCGAAGATGATGACGTAGGGGTCGCGAAGCTCGCGCGTAAAGAAGCTCACGTTTGAACTAGTGGCTAAGCAAAAAGGTGCGTGAACTTAGTCTCGCGACGGAGAAGGGTGCAGAGAAAGAAGAGAAGGACAGGTGGTAGCTTGACATGACACGACCAGAGCGGAGCGCGAGTTGTAGAAATGCGGGCATAGCTACTCAGACAACGCAAGACATATAACAACATCTACATTTGCAGGCACACCACACAGGCTGTCTGACGAGGAGAAGCGACTCATCCCCCGATCGAGACGACTTTACTATCATACAGAAATGGGAAGGGAATTTCTGATAAGTATGTGTATCCATTTAACATGATCCTCGTTGAGTGTGATCTTCTCTTAGCCAGCTTGCCTTGCTGATACTATTTTGGATCAACATTCAAGATTTATCCAAACTCGAGTACACAAATTTCTCAAACTCGGTCAAGAGCTCGATAGCCTTTTCATCTCCGGTTGGTACAAGCTGAGAGAGATACACCCCGGCGACACCGTTGCTGAGGTCGATCCACTATAGTTTGATGATGAGCCAGAGTCCACATTGACAGTTGAAGACTTACCCAGTAGCAATTCGGCATGCCCGACCAGGTGAGTGAGTTCGCTCCACGTCGTTTTGGTACTGCAGTGATGTTGATCAAGCCTCCAATCCCAAAGCTGACAGGGACGTTGTCTGGGACAGTATTCCAGATAGCGTTACGGGACGGCAATGAGTATTCGGCTGGATCGAGGCCCTTGGTTGTCTCGAGCTGAGGCTGGAACATCTCCTTGACAGACTCGGGCCGGAGCAGCTCCCCTGTCAGGACACCTTGGTATATTTTGAGCAAGTCGTCCACCGTTGCGAACAGTCCGCCCCCTCCAAAATCTGCCTCAACCTTGTCCGGCCAGTAAGGCTGCTTCTGTTCCTGCAACCTCTCACCCACTCGCTCCCAGACTTTGACCTTTCGAGCTCGCGTCTCTTCTCGCTGGTCGGGATGGAAAGTAGCGTCATTGGCAGACACGACGTCGAAAATATGGCGTTGCATGTACTCGCCAAGCTTCATGGAGGTGATTCGTTCGACCAAAACTCCAGCCCAGTCAATGCCAGGCGAATACATCCATCGTTCACCGGGTTCAAACACGAGAAAGTGGTGGGGGAACTTTTCTGCCTATAGCGCTTGGTGGTAAGCTAATGGTATTGGCGAGCGGGGTGAGCCGGCTTACGACAGATGTGGGAGGGCCAGGCAGTGGCTTACCCTGAAGCTCTTCGTAGCGGGTCAGGAGCGGATCCATGAATGTATAAGCCATGCCGCTGGAGTGCGTCAACAGTTGCCTGGTCACCAACATAATATGTTAGCAAAACGTGGTAAGCCCTTGGACATATCAAGACTTACCGGAGGGTGATAGCCTTCGTTGCGGGCCTGAAGAGGGCTTCATTCTCTTCATTGAAACCGGTCAGAATCTTCGGATCTTTCCACTCGGGCAGCACTTTGGCGATATCGTCTTTCAGGTCTAGTAATCCTCTCTCGACGCATTGCATTACAGCAATTGTAGTCACCAGCTTGGTGGAAGAGGCGAGCCAATGTACACCATTGGACTCCGCGTCGTCGGATTCCTTTTCAAACGCCTTCATGTAGCGAAAAGAACCTTTTGATCACGTCTGGTCAGCAAAACAGAAACAAAACAAGAGACAGGGAAAGGTGGACTCCTAGGTACCATACCATTTTTGCTGATGGCGCCAAATGTAACTGGAGGGATAGGCTGCTTGTTTTCCTCAAATCGATGACGAAGAGAATTGAAGGTTTCATCGAAAGAGGCCATGGTTGGAGGACGTTCTCGTGGTAAGAAGAGGGTTTGATTTCTCTTTATCTTCATGAAAAATTGCGCAGTGCTGTCCCGTCTTATACTGTGCGTGAACTTCATTGGCTTGGCTTCTTGCGCACAGCCCTGGGCGTTGCATAAGTGGCTATTGAATTATTGTGCGGAGGTATGCTAGTAATATTGGCCCGATTACTGATCTAGAGCGGAATAAACCCACGGTCCGCGACATGGGAAGCATGAAATCCATATCAACTTCAGATACACCAGTCCTGACGGACATTGTATTGGTTCTTTGTCCTGACAGCACTAAACCGCGAAACGATCAAGCGGGGCAGAAGGATCACTTCGGTCTAATGACTCACTCCGGAGCTTCTCATGAATCGGGTCAACACACATAACGGCATGATGATTACGAACCACCTTGGCAGATCGCCACCGCTCATGTCATAGCCGACTTGATGGACAGCATGAACCTAGACCGCGGCTATCTCTTCAATGGTTTCGGGTTTGGAAGAGGTGAACTTGGACTTGTGCCTAGAGACAAATCAGGTTTCGTTCAGGGCGTAATGGTCTGATACCAGCAGAGGAGCTGCAAGAGATAGTATTGTTTAGGAATATGCTCGCTAAGTCTGGTCGTATCTTGGTCTCTACCTCCTGTTCAGCTTCCAGCCTGTATCTACTCTGGACTCATTAGGCAGCAGCTACATCGCTTGCCATCTTCAAGATAGCATCCTTTTCGCAGAACTCCACCACCCTTTTGACCTTAGATCCATCCTCATTAAAGTACAAGAACCAAGCACACTCAGAAGGGTACGTCTCTCCACTGCTCCTAACATACACGTCGGATTTAGCTGTAAAAGCGGCGCGGCGCGCCTCCGTGTCGATGATCAAATTCGACATTGTGTTATCCTTGAACAGCAATACTTTGATGTCATTCCCGAAGAGGTCCTGGAAACTGGTCGTGTCGAAGAACGAGTCTGTTGCAAGACCGAAAGCTTTGGGTACGGATGCGGGAAGTAGGTGACGTGTGCAGTCGGCTGTAACGTCGCGATTGATAATAGAAGCGTCGCTCTGAGCTCCGCCTTCTTCGAATGCAGATAAGAAGGCCCGAGCTGTTGCCTCAATTTGTTCTCTGAGGTTCGGTGTGGAAGGAGTTGAGGCCATGTTGGAGGACAATGGTAGAGTTTCGTGCGAACTGAAGATGGAGGCGAAGATAGTGGAAAATAGTGGAGATATTGACTGCATATTGGGTTGCACTTGACGCCTACTTATGTTTCGCGCGTACCTAGGTAGCATCAACGACTGTCTACCTCAAATTCCCGAGGTCGCCAACAGTCCTTCGCGGCGGTACACGTAAGTCCATGACTTAACGCCTTCCTTTGGATGATGCTTACTTATCAAGAATAGATCATATCATCTTGAGTACTGCCTTCCAAGACCTCCGTTGAGGGTCGACATCAGAGTGCGATGACATTTTCTCTCGTTTCGGCGTAGTGCGTTTGAGCTACGGAGGATCTTCGGCCGTACCTGCAGTCTAGCTCTAGCTCCACCCGATGACATTATCACCCTCTTCAGCCTAGCTCGCAGCTTGGGGCCGAAGCATCCACACAGCCTGAATGATGCGTCTCCTTTCAAATCAGCAATTCGAAGGTACCGCACCTGTAAACTAAGCCCAGATTTCGATATGAAGCGGCGGTGTGAGCCTTCTCTCAAGCTTATCCCCGAGAAAGCATACTAAAGCGTACGGTGATTTCTAAGTCGTGCCTTTCTTGAGCGACGCTGTCTACGAATGAGACCAAGATGTCGCGTACAGAGCTTGGGTGAGTTGAGTACATAAATGATTCATTTGCCCCTCCTTCCGTCCAAACTCAGAATCCAATCCCTCAAGATCTTATCAATCCAGCTTACGCCATCTACGCAAGTCATATCCTCTACCTTTATCCCTCCCAGCATCCCGTCAACACAAGAATGCCTCATTACGATGAAGCTCATGCTAAGCCGAATGGCCCTGGCGATGCGCGCCCAACAGCCTTGCAGATCATCAAAGACGAGAACCTTGAGAACAAACTCAAAGGTGAGGTCATTGTCATCACTGGTACCTCCTCTGGCATCGGCATTGAAACCACTCGTGCCCTGGCCACCACTGGCGCCATTCTCTTTCTCACGGCCCGAGACACGAGCAAAGCCCAATCCGCCCTTGCTGATATCCTCGAACCTTCGCGTATGCACATTATCGAGATGGACCAGGCAAACCTCTCTTCCGTACGTGCCGCCGCCGCCGCCATTCTTAGCAGGACTCCTAGAGTCCATGTACTCGTGAACAATGCTGGTATTATGGCAATTCCCGACTTTCGCCTTACGGCAGATGGCCACGAACTTCAATTCGGCACAAACCATCTGTCGCATTTTCTGTTCTACAAGCTTCTAGAGCCCGCTCTTCTCGCAGCCGCCTGCTCCAGCCGCCCATCTCGTGTCGTCAGTCTCGCTTCCTCAGCGCACAACGTCTGCGGGATCAACGACTCCAACAACTACAACTTCCAGAAAGACCATTACGACCCCAGCGTAGCGTACGCCCAGTCAAAAACTGCAAACATATACATGGCCAACGAGATTGAGCGCCGCTATGGCTCGCGCCATCTACACGCCACTAGCGTCCATCCCGGCCTCGTTCAGACGGGGCTGACGCAGCATATGCCCCCGGACGCATTCAAAGGTATGGAACATTTGTATCCCACCATGAAGAGCGTCGAACAGGGTGCTGCAACATCGGTATGGGCGGCGATCGGCGAAACATGGAAGCACAGGGGCGGCAAGTACCTCGTCGACTGCGCTGTTGCGGAGCCATACAAAGAAGGCGATGACAAGTACACTGCGCTTGGTTATGCTCCGCATGCTTACGATGTGGAGAAGGCGGAGAGGCTGTGGAACGACTCGCTCAAGCTTGTGGGGTTGCCGAGTGATGAGTGAGCGTTCAGGAAGGGACAGCAGTGATAACCCAGTGTACAATTAGACACATGATACAAGTTCTATGAATACATCCATGCGCATTAGCACACCGTACTTGATGTTCTCACCCGCCATGGTTCTTATTGTGAAATCGTGATATCGAAGATTGCACTGGTAGATCATGCTCGATTCGCGTTGGGAGGCGTTCGACATATCGACTAATTTTCCATCAAAGGAAGACGCAAAGGTTCTTCTCCCCTCATCAACCTCCAGCGGTTACTAGATACAAGCAAATCGTCGCATCCCTGTACGGCCCATGACCACTTAGCCAGAAAGCCAGGGGTAGCCTCCCAACTCTTCATGTCGTGCGGCTCACCCCAAACAACGAGTCCCTTGCGACCCGCAGTAACCTCATCCTCATCACGTCCTACTACTGCGGTCGGCGGTATCGACACGACCTTAGGGTCAGAAACTCTGATAGCAAGAGGCGTACCTCGTCGCTCTTGCATTGGCGTAGCACCCATGAGCTCGCCAATGAGATCCTGCAATAGTTCCCAGGGATCGAAGAGTCCCTCATGCCTGATGAGGTTGTCGCGCACTGAAGGAAAAGGAAAGAGGTTGATCCAGAAAGAGTGCAAACGCTCTTGCTGGATGCGAGTCGGGAAGAGTGAAGGAGGTATATTGGGATTCAAGGGATAGATGTTCGTGTCGTCGATGTAAGGAAGGCTGATGGGACATGTGGTTGGGGAAGGAGGCATATCGTTTGTCCACCCTGTAAGAAGCGCGTTTAGAGTACGCTTGTTTGAGACAAAGGCTCGGAAGACGTTGTATTGAACTAGGTGAAGGAGGTGGTCCGTAGAGAGGGGAAAGACCATGGACGGGGGTGTTAGCGTAGTGGGAGCTTGACCCGGAGTGTATGTAGGCGGCTTCCAGAGGTCTACAGTGCGATCAGGAATGGATATCGATGCGTTGATTGCCACATCTTGAGCAGTGGGCTCTGTGGAATGGGATTGGCTTTCGTCAACTTCATCCAGGCGCCAGCGCTCAATTTGGAATGGGCGCGACGTCTGAACAGAAACTGGGTTTTGCTTTTTGTTTCGCAGTCCTTCATCGGAATGAGCTCAGCCAAGAGCGTGATGCTTAAGACCAAACTCACGATGTGCCCTTTGGTTCTTTCGGTTCTGGACTTTCCTGCGCTGCTTGTTGGCCTCGGCCTCGATGTTGTTGGGTTGATACTCGACCCTGTTCGCTTCGCTTTCGGCTGGAGGAAGTGGGGTGACGAAGTGGTCCATGATTAAGCGTTAAGAACAGCCCGTCTTGTGTTGATGGTTGGTTGGTTGATTCCTACACGGTTACAGCCGCGAAGTCCGCAGCTATGGCCTGTTGACAGGCGTAGCGGTGCGGAGATTGATCCGCGCCGCCCCACTTCATTCGGGCAGCTTCAACCTCGAGAGAAGAGGTCGGTTCAACAGCTTCCACTTTGAGCAGGACACTCTTGTGTTGAGACGCGCCGCCAGATCATCAAGGATGACCCCAACGTCAATACACCAAAGAAGCCACCATAGATCAAGATCACAAGGGCCGTATTCGTTGTTACGTATGTGATAGACGACTAAGGCATCGAGGAGATGGACCTCGACATGGAGCAACTATGGGAGGAACTATTGGTCCAATGTTCACCGAGCAAATTTCTGACTGCGCGTATGCGATCTGCTTTACGTTCGTAGAAGTCTTTTGAATTAAGATGTCTAGCGCATATACACTTAGCAAACGGGAGAGACTTCAGACGAAACACAACCTTGTCAAGAATTACCGACGGACCGCAGATGCATGAAGCATGACATCAGAATTATGATAAATGGCCACATATTTGCCAGGTTGGTCACCTCAACACGGTTTGTGTGCTAATCGTCGAATATTGTGCTTTTTGTAACCCTTGTAAGATTTGGCAATCAAAGGTGCCCGTGAAACCTTGATAAGTTTATCGCACACCGGCAGCCATGGACTGCCGTGTTCAGTGGCGGTTCACGTGCAGGAGCAACTAAATTACAGGCCGGTAAGCCCCCATCTTCTGGTAACGGCCATGACTGGTGTTGCCACGGTGCGGGAACGCGGGCGCAATGGCGAACGTCTGGGGGATCTGCGATGGGGCAGGTGCTAATCGCACATCAACGACTGCAAGAGCCGCACTATGTAGCAAGATTAAGATGAAACGAGTGTAGTGACGCATGCGTCAGGCACTTCACCGATGTTCCCTTGCCAACTCGCATTGGTTTCATCCGGGGTGTGCTGACGATAAATGCCTGATCCGAAGAGGAACGCGAAACGGACGGCTACGGGTGTCCGGATAAGCCCATGTGGAGCAGTTGAACTAAATTCTAGCAAGAACCCAAAATTACACCACTGGTTATTTCGCTATCGAGGCAAAGATTCGGTATTCATGCTGTAAAGAGTGGAATGAAGCGTGGTGCGGTAACGACGAGTTCTGCAAATGCCGACTTCCTGTGAAAGCCCTCGTTTGTTGCACACCAAGCTTGTGGTAAACGAAGGATGAACGCGTGGAGGGGATCATGCACGTCAGCGGAAGATGTAACCTGATTAGATTAACATGATGAGCAATCGAAACTGATACGCTGCGTTTTAGGGCTGGCAGATACGTAGCCGAGCTGGATCGGTACGGTTCTGGTACTTGGGATCACACCTCGCGTAAATGCGACGGCATGAGTGAGGCTTTTGATTGACTGTCGTGGAACCTGGACAAATGGAATCACATCATCGCGGTCAGCGTCCAGAACAAAAGCAACAACGGCTATTACTACCCAAGCTACCCCCAACATGCCGGCAGAGGTAGGGTGTCATTAGAGTTAACGGGTTTGCCGAAGCAGCACGAAGCAAAGATCCGGGCAAGGAGTTAGTGCCCCTTACATCCAAGTAGTGGTTGCATTATAGATGACATCCGTCTTCAGCCGCGGACGAAAGCACATGTTAGGGATGGGCCGAAGTATCAACAAAGTGGTGTGACTTGGCAGAGCGGCCGAGCCACTGTCGCGGGCCCGAGGCGTGGAGGTTAGGATGACGCAGCGATGTGCGACACAGGAGAAATCGGTGGCTGGTTTTCAGGCTTACCGGTCTTGAGACCAGGGACGATATGCGTCTCGGCTCGAAGAGCCAGGTTCCCAGTCCAGCTTGAGCATTTCCTTTGTTTTGTACAGTTTTTCCCGTGCGAAGCAGGGTCTGACGATCACAAGCTTGGACGTCGAAGTGGAGGCTGGGTCTGACTTTGGCCCACTTGCATCTGCATTCTGTTGTGCTTACGCTACAGCTGATGTGACGGCGGTGCACATATGCAGGTCTGAAGAGAAGGGAAGAAATGAGGTTTGCTCACGTGGTACTCCATGACATTGAGCTATCCAAATCATGTTGGATGGGTTCTTGAGACGGAGGCGAGACAGGAACTGGGCCAATAGACGTAGGAGGCGGCTTTTAGTCGAGCGCGTCCAGACGTTGAAGGGCTATGGAAGGTAGCTGCGCAAACGACTCCTTGTTCGATGCGGAGCGTTCTGCTGGGAATTGCTGGGAATCGCTGTGGTGGGTTAAGAAGCTAGAGCTCGTTCAGAGTTTGGCGCCTACAGCCCCGACGGATCATCCGTCTGGGGGCACTGGGCGCAATTTCGACGGGGCGCCAATCACCCGCGATATGCCAGCTTAGCTGACGCCTGCAGTTGGCTATACACCAAATTGTCCGATTGTTTTTTAGGTCGCGTGAATTGTGATTTGTCTGAACCAGGAAATTCGATATCGCAGCGCGTGTGAGGGGAGGAGGATAGTCCCGGGCGGCGCGGAGGCTGGAAATGCACGTGCCTTCTCCACGAGCGTCACGGGTCGGGTTAGCCTCGGGCTCTTGCATCTCAACCCCGCTCGAATGGCCTACACTCTGCCATCATTCAGTATCAACGTGAAAACTCGAGAACGAAATGGGGAGAGACAGATGCGCGCACTCATCTGTGTCGTTCCGTCTGGGAAGCGGCATACCGTCTCGTCGTGACGTAGAGAGATGCCGTGTGTGGCTGCCTTAGACTCACCAGGTATTAAGCGGGTCCCTGCTCGCTTAGCGCGTTGGGCAGGCACGAATAGAAAGCGTCCTCAGCGCCTGCCCTCGTTCCTTCCTCGACGAATCATTTTTCCCTCACTAAAGTTCGCCATCTTCATCTCACTCAAGACGTGTTTGCGCGGACTGGCGCGCGGAACACCACAAGAATACACCCTAGCTTCTCCGCAGCTCCCAAGCTTGCTTTGCCTCCAAAAGGCACCGCCTGCTCTCGGCTCTCAGCAATTCGTCAGGCCGGACTCAAGACCTGTCTGCATCTCCCACCTGGGCAGCCATAGAACGGCAAGCAGATCACGGGATCCAATCTTCCTGCAAGACGCAAGCACCTGTAAGTCCACTCTGTCGCGCTATGCAACTCGTTATCACCATGTCCGACGATCAAGTCCTTTCGAGCGACGGCGCATCGATTCAGACACTCCCGTCGCCGTCGCAAGACTGTATTACCGTCACTCGCTATGCTTCTCATTTTCCTTTTCGGCTTACAGGCATGCCGCATGCTCTGGTGCTACACATTCGCGCGCCTTGCCTCCACTTCACATGCTAGAGGCTGACGTCGCATTCAAGGCAACACAAAGCTCACCAAGCCTTTTGTATCCCGCGTTCTGTCCGCTACTTGGACCACGCCGTTGCTAAAGCTGTCATTGCGCAACGACAATATACATTTGTCCGCTCGCTGGTCGCCCTAGACTTCAAACCCGAAGAGCATTCAGACCGGCAATACGACCTTGACGCCCGCCAACTGACGAAACAAGGTAAGCGCACTAGCTCACCGCGCATGCATATGCCAGCGCATCATCCCTTCCAATCGCCCACCCCGCCAGCACAGCGTCCAATGCTCTTTTGATTTGGCTGACAATCATTGTAGGCGACTCTCATCTTCCTCTCGTGACTGGTGAATACCTGCAACGGCTCTTCCCCACTACTACGGCGCGGGCCTCTAGAGTGCAGCTTCATCCTCGACAAATCGCTCCATCATTTGTAAACGCGCACTGCCCCTCGACGTCCAATCACCACTGCTGCGCCTCAAACCTGGAAGCTAAAGCCGTGCGCTCTAGCGAATTCGCCTCAAGCACGCCTGGCCATTGACAGCGCATCAAGTATCGGCCCTGCCGCGACGTGACCGCCTGCCTGTATTACGCGCCTCAACTGCGAGCCTCTCGCTACCTCGTCTTCACGCAAATAGGCCCACAATCTACGCATTGTAGACAGCCATGACCGACTACGCACAATTCCACGGGCATGCGCCCGCGCCCAACCCGCAGCAAATGCAGTTCGGACAGCAGCAGTCGTCTCCGATCCTTCCATCAAATGGAAACTTCGCGCATAACGGCCAACCACATCCCCAGCACCACCCGCAGATGGGCTTCCCTCAGCATCAGGCCTACATGGCTGGTATGCAAAATCCATACATGCCCTCTCAACAGCAACAACACCAACAGGCTGCTGCGTTAGCTACGGCTGCTGCTGCAGGACCAGCCGGATACTACGACCAAACCGCCATCTCAGGTCAACTAGCACAAGACCCACGCGCATCTCCACGCATGTCAGTATCCCAGATGAAGGGCGATGGACGCGTCGCTCCACGATCGCCGACAAACGTTTCCAATGCGATGAACAACGCGCTCCCATCTCAAGTTCAGATGACCCCGACTCAGATGCAACAAAGGCGAATGAGCACTCAAATCAGTAGTCCTGCGATGCAGCAGCCACAGCCTGTCATGAACCATGGCGGCCCCAGACCCTCCGTCCCTCCGATGCCCCAGCAATCGCAGCACCAACAATCGCCTGAGCTTGTCGCTGGAGGTGCACAACCAGAAGAGGCGCCACTCTATGTCAACGCGAAACAATTCCATCGCATCTTGAAAAGGCGTCTCGCGCGACAGAAACTCGAGGATGCACTGAGGCTGACATCCAAGGGTCGAAAGCCATACCTACACGAGTCTAGGCACAATCACGCCATGCGCCGTCCCCGTGGTCCTGGCGGTCGCTTCTTGACCGCAGAAGAGGTGGCTGCGATGGACAACGCAGCCGGAAAAGGCGAGGGTGAAGAGGGCAACAAGGAAAACGCGTCCATGCCTCCCAAGCCTGCCAGCTCTGGCCCCAAGCGCAAGGCATCATCTACACAACTCAAGGGAACACCTACCATCAAGAAGAACAAGGCAGGTGCCGTGCAGCGTCACAGCA